CCTCCCTCTCCCTCCCTCCCTCCATCCCCCTCCCTCCCTATCTCCATCCAACCCCTCGCCCTCCCTCTCCATCCCTCGCCCTCCCTCTCCATCCCTCGCCCTCCCTCTCCATCCCTCCCCCACTCCCCCCCACTCCCTCATCTCCCTCCTCCCTCCATCTCCCCCTCCATCTCCCTCCCCCCTCCATCACTCCATCCATCCCCCTTCCTCCCTCCCTCCATCCGTCCCCCTTCCTCCTTCCCTCCATCCCCCTCCTTCCTCTCCTCTCCCCCTCCTCCTCCCCATCCTCCTCCATCCCGTTCCGCCTCTCCATCCCCCTCGCCCTCCTTCCTCCCTCTCTCTCCATTTCCCCCTCCCCCATCCCCTCCATCCCTCCTGGGACCTGTGTTTGCAGGAGACAGTTTCGTGGTGAATGCCTACCTGAACCGGCGGGGCTTAGAGGAATTCGAGCGCCAGACAACGGGGATTGGTGTCCTGGAGCCGGCGAAATTGCGCGGATACCGACCCTTCTCTACGGTAATTGACTTGAACCCCGTAGGAAGGGAATTCCGAAATATAAATGACAACCTCTTCCCAATCCCTCCCCAGTAAGATCCCCTTGCAGCAGGCAAGCATTCCCCAGTACACCTTTATATTATTGTGAAGGCCCCATCGCCAATGGTGTATTGTAACCGGGGGGGGAGGGGAGTAGGGGTCAGGGGAGGTGAAATCCGTAAAATGCATTTGAATCTGCACGTCTGTTATGCCCACTGCAGCCTTCTGAGCTTGGGCTGGCCGCTATCGCTGCTTGTATTGTGGAGATGTCAAGGTTTGATTCCCAAACCTCGACTGATTTCTTTCCATTGAGTATGAAGTTCGGACGGGGGCGAGGATCTAGCTGAGAGGTGACTTGGGCACGCTCTCCTGTTTGAACCCAATAAACATGCTGTAAGGACAGTACAACATCTAGGCAGATTTCTCAGTTCTACAGTCTTTACAACGAGGCAGTACTTCCCGTGGGAATCAGCAGCTTTTGTTTTCTGTGTCCTTCCATTGGTGGCTGATGAGGCCAGTATTTGTTGCCTGTTTGCCTTTGAATTGATTCCAGAGAGTCAACCACACTGCTGTGTGTCTCCAGGTAAGGATGGCACCATTCCTTCCCGAAAGGGAGAAAAATAGGGTACTAGATGGTGTTTTACAACCATTGACACTCAATCACAGTCACTGACACTAGCTTTGTTTTCAGGATGTTATTCATTGAATTCAAGTTCCTCCTAGTGCCATAGTGTGATGGTGTGATGGTGTGATTTGAACTCATGTTCTCAACACATTAGTCACACTCACTGGATTTTTAGTTCATGACATTACCACTGTGCCACCGTCTTCCTCCCCACCCAAGTTACTACTTAATAAATAATATCTCAGAAATACAATAAAACTAATGACATTGCAAATGATCTCAGGATCATTTAAATTGCAGAGATGCAATTTAAGATACATGTCTGTATGGGGTCTGTCTCAACTTCTCCCTGTGCTGTTTCCATATCTAAACACTGCACATTCATGAAGGGCTGGGTAATGTATTAGAAGGGGTCTGTTTTAATTTTGTACGCATTCAGACGTAATAAAGTTACTTACTTTTTACCTACAAACTGAGGGGAAGAAAGCAGCATTTGTAGGGCTAATGTTTTTGATTTCCTCTCTCTGTTTCACTGACCACTGCCCCCCCACACCCCCCCAGCGTTCTCTCCAAACCCTCTGTCTTTAGATTTGCATACTTTACAAGACCTATGAGCAGATGTCCAGTGATCTGAGAGGATAAGAAGTAGGTAAATACCAAAAAAAGGGCAAGACACAACAGGAAAGTGTTTAGCAGTGTAAACACAGTTCATCATTAATTGCACACTGACATGTTTATTCCTTGCTGGAGCAACCTGATCACCAAACCATTTTTGATAATGATGCTAACCGATTTCATGATATGTCTGTTCTGAAAGCATTAATTTTCATGTTTATGACCTGGTAATGAGCACTGTGTTTGAGTTGGTCCAGATCGGATAAAGATGTCTTGCTTCTTTCATACAAAACTTGGTCTGCTGCCCCCAAAATAACATTGTGGGGTGGGGAAACTGAACTAGTCAAGGATGGCTTGGCCGTTTTAAAGCCAGTCTGTTTACACATTAACTGTAGAATGGAAGTGTTTGGACTTATTTGATATGATGTAATCAGTGAAGTTTAATAGAAGGCATGCAGAACTTTCACATAGACACACTAAAGTATGATTAAAGAAAGCCATAACTGAAATCATAGTAAAATTGATACTTAGTCCTCTGAACTGTATAAAAGCACTGTACAAAAAATCTGAGTAACTTGTCTTTTGGGGTATGTATTATTAAAGGGCAACAACCTGTGGGTGAATTCACATGGTACATATAGCAACTGCAACACACAAACAAAAAGATCATTCAATCTAAGTGTTGATTGTCCTCAAAGTGAGCAGTTGTCTTGTTAGTTTTAGACCTTCTACTTCTCTTTATCCTTATTGAAGACTCCACTTTGACTGGAAATTTTTCCTTCAATCATCCTGATGTGTAGTATAGCTATCCACTTGAGTAAGCTTGTTGAATTGTGGAAGAAGTATAGTCTCTCTTTTATTGGAACCTACTTTATGCCCATCATCATGGAATGCAAAGCAAAAAATTTTGCATTCAATATCTGATGTTCCAAAATTTCCATTTCCCCCCTAAACGCTGATAGACTGGGTCGACAATTTATCTTTTTCTTGACAACCGAACCCAATTGATGCTGTCCATTAGCAACTTCTCTGAGCAGGGGAGGGCTGGTCTAATTGGGATTGGGGACTTTGGGTAGCTCAGTTGGATGGATGGCAAGACTGTTATGATGAATGACTCCAATAGTCCTGTATCTGCTGTGGTAGTACTCAAAGGCCTTATCCCAAACTTGTGGAGTGATGGCTCTCAAACTACATACAGGATAAACAATTGTTCCACTTCCTAAGTAAGGAGAGATACCTATGGTCCTTATGAAAGTCAATGATGTTCAAAGCCGACACCACTTCCATCTGGAAAGACAAGGACAGGAGAACCTGAGAGTTTCTCTCCAAGCCAATCACCATCCTGACTTAGAAGTATATCAGCATTTCTTCAGTGTCACTGGGTCTAAAATCCTGGTATTCGCTCCTTAATGGCATTGTGGATCTATCTACAGCACATGGATGGGAGCCATTCAAAAAAAGAAAACTGCCACCTTCTCAAGGGCAACTCGGGGTAGGCAATAAACACTGGTCCAGCCAGTGATGCCCACATCCCATAAATAATTTCTTTTTAAATGAAGTATGACATAGAGTGGATTGTAAATACCAGTTGAATCACCAGTATTTTTCCTTCACATCCCTCAATGGTATGCACCATCCTTAGTTTATGAAATTGTCTCCAAAGTAGCAGTCACTGCTCTGAGTACATTTTCTCCCTAATACCATGACATTACAACTTTAAATGAAGCCAGCTTTTTATTTCTTCCTTCAGGGTAAATAACAATAAATCTAGGCTGTATATTAAAATACTGTAGGCATAGATTTTATTTTAAACATTCATTTGTATTATTTTGATTTTAACAGAATTTCTATCCTCCTCCCAATTTTTCCTAAGAACCTGAAGGTGGGAAGTACCTCCTGGCTTTGCTTAAAAGAATGGCTAATTGTCTCTGGTACCCCAACTGAGAGCCCATTCTTCATGTATGTAAGCTGTTTGACTGTTGCTATGTTATGGCCCAATCTGATGACATTTACGATTGGTGCCCCCATCTATGCACTTCATAAAGGTCATGGGATGGTTATTAAGACCCAAACCCCTGCCTTGATTTTTACTTACCCTCTTTCCTTAATACAGTGGTGAATGTACAAGTTACAATGCTGCTTCTGCTATTGTACCAACTCAAGTAGACTTGAGATAACATATAGGCTTGCACTAGTTTGTATGGACAAGCTACTCCTGGCTTAACAAGATGCGTCATTACAGATTTTGTTTGTATATTTTGGGTTTGAACCCTAAATGTATTGTCCATCAGTAACAAAGAGCATGTTTAGCCACAGCCAATTTTAGGTCTTGTGACTAGAAACCAATGTTGAGTGCTAGATAATACTGTATAGAGCTGGAAGAACACAGCAGGCCAGGCAGCATCAGAGGAGTAGGAAAGTTGACGTTTCGAGTAGGGACCCTTCTTCAGAAATGGGGGCTTCGCAGTGACGTTATAACTCACTCAGCATCTGCAGTTCTTGCTATCTCAATGTTGAATGTTGGTTGTGATTCAATTGGTATTGCACTTGCCTCAATTAGAATGTTGTGAGTTCAATTCCTACCCCAGAGACCTGAGCGAAAAAACCAACGTTGCAGTATTGAGGGACTGCTGGACATAAAACAGGATTCTCATTGGTCCCCTCTGTTGGCTGTAAAAGAACTTACGGCAATATGTGAGGAAAGTATGGAGTTTGCACAGGTGTTCAAACGAATATTTGTTAAACAACACCTAAAATCTAGATGACTCTGCCATTGTCATGTTTGTATGACTTTGTAATGTGGCCACTGTAGTACTTGAGAAATGTAGTAATTGCAAGTAAGTTGGCCCCAACATCAAAACAGTAAGTTCCCATAAACAGCAATGTAATAATAAGATAACGTCAATTTTAATCAGGAATAAATGTTGGCTAGGACATTGAGTTTTAATGTTGACTCTGTCATTTATAATTTTTGTAAAGAAAGGTAGCATATTTGGAGTGTAAACAGAAATAAAAAGATGGAGAAATAGAAAATAATAGAAATGGTTATAGTAGAAATGCATAAACCAGAAGAATAATAGACAAAAGGGGAAACAAATATAAAACAATTGATATCTTGGATCTTGTCATTTCTTTTTAAACTTTTGCAAGCAAATGCAACACAGTGAAACATTTATAAATCCCACTGAAGGAGAGGCCATATGGTATTTGCATAGGTCTTGTTGTGTGTATAAAGGAGAGATCTTATCAGTACCTCCTGATTTGGCTTTCTTTTAAGAAATACATTAGCTCTCAAATCCAAGTTGAATTTTGACTTTGAATTTGGATTTCTTCCAGATTGGAAGCTGTTTCTCATTATAAATCACAATCTAAATGATGGGAATTTCATGTTCAAGTTTCAAAATTCTCCTGCTCTGTGGTTTTAAACTGGCTCCATAGAAAATTGAATTGTTTCTCATATGTGTAAACTGCATTTGATTCAAGTCTATGGTCCTTGGCCTTTTTTGATCAGTTTTCCTGTCTTCTGGTGTTGTCTGTATCTTCAGAATCATTATTGCACCCTGTTCTTGCCAGCTATTTGCTAGAAGTATAGTAGTGCAGAATGAGACAATTTACCTTTCAAAACTCTTTCACAAAGCGATTCAACAGGTCTGACTTCTCTGCTCTTACCCCAAAACTCTGCATTTTTTCCACTTTCAAGTATTTATACTCTTATTCATTGAGTGTGGGCATCACAAGCAAG